TCCACTCCAGTATTCTTGCCTGGAAAATCCCATGGACAGAGGAGACTGGCAGGCTACAGTCCGTGGGGTCGCAAAGAATCGGACACTACTGAGCAACTAACACTAGGTATAAAATAGATAGCTGGTGGGAAGCTGCTGTAGAGCATGGGAACTTAGCTCTGTGACGACCTAGAGTAGTGGGATGATGCGGAGTGGGCGGCAGGGAGGCTCAAAAAAGGAGGGAATTTATGTGTACTTGTGACTGATTCACGTTGTTATGGCAGAAACCAACACAACATTGTTAAGCAATTATCCTCCAATTAGAAACAAAGAAAACAAAAGCAGGAAAAAAAAAAGTAGTTTTGCTAGCTGACTACCTATTTATTCCAGAAGTTCTGTCATTACTCAAATATTTCAGTCACTTATTATGTTGAGCTGCTCTCAAAACTAGTCTGAGCCCTACGAAAAGACCAGTTTCACTTCTTATAACCACACTGAGTATTTCAGGAGTCTTGCCACTCTGCTTTTCTCATTTGTCTTCCTGTTTCCAGTTCTCTTTTTAATGTGTTGCTCTAGTCCCCAAGCAAGAGGAGTTCTGGGTTCAGTGGGGCTCAAAGTACAGGGCAAGGCTTATGGGCATAGAGAGCCCAGCAGGGAAGGGAAGTTGGCCTGGCTCAAAAAACCTTGACCTTTAAACAAAGCATGCTTAAACAGCTCTTTTTAGTCTGTCCTTTCCTGTGTCCCATTTCTGCTCTGTGATTCCTCACCCACCTTTATAACAGAAAAGAGCCATCAAATCCTCAGGCTGGGTCATAACCTTGAATTGCCTAACTCTCAGGGGTAACGGGGAGAACCACAGAGAGAGGCCCTTCTGAGGCTTCCTTTCCTTCTGCCCCTGGGTGTTTAGTTAATGTTCTGCCAGCACTTCCCACTTGTCGGGGGCCAGGACTATACTCCAGCCCCACATCACTGCTCAGGGCAGAGGGCACTTTGTCCAGACAGCTTTGATTCCAGAGAGACCTGCATCTGAGCTTCACACTTCACCTTCGAGTCTGTGTCCTCTGTGGTCTTGTATCTTCTCAGGTCTCAGGCTCTGGCTCTTCACATTCTCTTCTTCTGTTCCTCACGGTTCTTTGGGGGTGAAAATGAAAATGTCTGCTAATGGAGGAAAAAGAAACTAGTTTGCACAGCAAATAACAACCTAAAGCTGGGCTCCCTGCCCATTGTGACTCCCTGACCTCCCCAGCAGTTTCTGAGCACCAAACCCCAGTGAGGTGTTAGCTGATTGTACCAGTATGTCTCCAGGATCTCCTTGGTGTTGGGACTATGTTTGAAGAGTTTATGTTCTGGGTATCCTCAGAACTGGACTAGCACTTTTTGTATATATTGTTAAATTACTTAGCAATATATTTGTTGGAATATCTCCTCTTGTGTTATAATCTTCTGGAGAGCAAGGGCTTTTTTGTCTTAAAAATGTCAAATAGTTGCAAAAGTAAAGCTAATAATACAGTGAGTCTACTGTACTCATCACGTAATTTCAGCAATTATCATTTCATGGCCAATCTTGTTGCTTCTATACTCCCCTCTCCAACCTGGATTGCTTTATTTTTTAAATTTATTTTTAATTGGAGGGTAATTGCTTTTACATGGTTATGTTGGCTTCTGCCATATGACAGGGTGAATCAGCTATGCGTGCGCGCATGTGTGCTCTTAGTCACTCGGTCGTGTCTGACTCTTTTGGGACCCCATCCACTGTAGCCAGCCTACCAGGCTCCTCTGTCCATGGGATTATCCCAGCAAGAATCCTGGAGCAGGTTTCTATTTCCTTCTCCAGGGAATCTTCCCAACCCAGGGATTGAACTTGAACCTGCATCTCTTGTGGCTCCTGAAATGACAGTCGGATTCTTTACCACTGAGCCACCTAAGTATACATATATCCCCTCCCTATTGAGCCTCTCTCCCAACTCGCCCCCATCCCACCCACCCATCTTGGTCATCAAAGAGCACCAGACTAAGCTCCCTGTGTTACATAGCAACTTCCCACTAGCCTCCAGGTCTGGATTGTTTTGAAGCAGATCCTAGATATCAAATCATTGCATCTGTAAATATTTCAGTCATATTACTAAAATGTAAGGGCTCTTTGAAAGACACAATCATAATACCATTGTTACAGTAAGAGGTAATGCTTCCTCAGTGCCATAAAGTTTTCAATATTCAAATTTCTGCAATTACCTCCTCATTTCCCCCTTTCCTTCCTTGCCCATTTTTGTCACTCCTGAATTTGTTTTTGTGTCTCCCCTGATTTTCCTTTTTTTTATTTAAGTAGAATTTTTTGAATAACAATCCAAATAAGGGCTTTATTTCGTAATCATCACGTTCTCAGCAAGTGACTTAGTGTTTGTCATATAGTAAATCCCCAGTAAATGATGATGAATGAATGAATCATCAGAAGTCTGTAACATCTCATGGTTGAATTAGTGCAGTCTTACCTTCGCTTTTGGTTGGTTTGTCGGGATGGCTTTTGGTTTCTGATGACTTTAGCTAGGAGTTAACTTTGGTGCTAGCTACTATCAGTGCCTGTGAACGTTACTAAAGGTCTGAGGGCAATGTATGCACCTGTGACTCAGATTTACAGGTGAGCAGGGAAGGGGCCCTTGCTTTATCTCTGTTTTTTGTCTTCAGTGTCTTATAATATCAACTTGACTTTGGACCAAATACCTTTGACTTTTTTTGTTGTTTCTATAGAAGAGACCCTGAAGGAGCTCCCTGAGAACAAGAACAGCTTCCGTATGGTGCTGTTGTAGGCAGCATTCTAGGATGGACCCTCAAGACTTACTCCCAATCCCTGGACTGTGAATATGTGATGAGTAATCGTGTGGGTGATTGTGTTATGTTACATGGCCAAAGGGATTTTGCAGATGTACAGTAAATATGGTTACTCATCAGTTGACTTTGAGTTTAACAAAAAGAGATGTGATCTAAGTGGGCTTAATGTAATCACAGGAGCACTTTGAAAAGCAACTGTTTTTTTCTAGTTGGCCTCAGAATCGGAAATACAAGAGGGATTAGAGGGTCTTCCCTAGTGACTCAGTGATAAAGAATCTGCCTGCCAATGCAGGAGACACATGTTTGACCCCTGGTCTGGGAAAATCCCACATGCCCACATGTGGGGCAGCTAAACCCGTGTGCCACAAGTGTTGAATCTGTGCTCTAGAGCTGGGAAACCGCAACTACTGAACTTGTGCACCTCAACTGCTGAGGCCCAAATGCTCTAGAGCCTGTGCTCTGCAAAAAGAGAAGCTGCACTGCAACTAGAGAGTAGTCCCCCTTGCCACAACCAGAGAGAAGCCTCCACAGCAATGAAGACCCAGTGCAGCCAAATAAATAAAAATTTTTTAAAAAGAGGAATTGGATTTAAGGCATATTCTCCATTGCTGAGATAGAGGGAGCCTCATGCCTAGGACCTGAGAAGGTCCTCTAGGAGCTGTGAGTGTTTGTACTAGAACGATGGGGACCTCAGCCTTATAACTTCAAGGACCTGAATTTTGTGAGCTAAAGAATGGGCGTTGTTTTAAGTCATTAAATTTGTCGTAGTTTGGCAAAAGTAGAAAATGAATACAGATACTTTTGCCTGATAGGTTGAATAAACTGCTCCTTTGTTTATTTTTTAAAATTCAAATAAAATTAAAATCCACAAGAAAGCACACAGATCTTAAGTATATAATTTGATTTTTGGTAACTGTACATACCCATGTGATCATCACCTGAATTGAGATTTAGAATGTTTCCATTACCCCCAACAGCCCTCATGTGCACCTTTGTAGTTGATTCTACCCTCTAGGGTGAATTCTCACACAATTGATTGCATGTGTGTATGTGTGCTAAGTTGCTTCAGTAGTGTCCGACTCTTTGGGACTCTATGAACTGTAGCCCACCAGGCTCCTTTGTCCATGGGATTCTCTAGGAACGAACACTGGGGTGGGTTGCCATGCCCTCCTCCAGGGTATCTTCCCGACCCAGGGATCGAACCCTTGTCTCTTACATGTCCTGCATTGGTGGTTGGGTTCTTTATACCACTAGCACCACCTGGGAAGTCCAAGGCCATCAATTCTGCCAATTAAAAAAATAAGGTATTTATTTATTTTATGTTTGGCTGATCTTCATTGCTTCATAGGCTTTTCTCTAGTTTCGGAGAGTGAGGGCTCTCTCTCTAGTTGTGGTGGGTGGGCTTCTCCCTGCGGTGGTTTCTCTTGTTGCAGAGCACAGGCTCAGTAGTTGTGGTGGATGGACTTAGTTGCTCCATGGCATGTGGGATCTTCTTGGACCAGGGAATCAACCAGTGGCCCCTGCAGTGGAAGGTGGCTTCTTTACCGCCAGGGAAGTCCCCTGGGTACTGATTTTATTGCTGCTTCCAGTGGTCTTGGGATGGAGGCACCACAGCAGAGGGCCAGGGGAAATCAGGGGCTGAGGAGGGGAAAGACAGCACATGTTCCAATTGCTTGGAAGTGAAGGAAATGAGATGACAGGCTAATTCTTGGTGGAATTAATAAAGGAAGGTTATCCTGGTTGAAAGAGCTCTGACTCTCTGAGGGGCAGAAAAAGGGACAGGGAACAAGGAGGTGGGACGTGCAGGAGAGATTTCTACACACCTGAGCCCATGGAGACTGTGGGAGTGAACGCTGGATCAGGCATGGGATGCACTGGAGCCATCTGCATGGGCAGTGTGGTGTGTCCCTAGTGAAGAGCCCAGCAGACCTTTTACTCATGAAATCATCTTCTCTCCTTCTCTCCCAGAGGAAGACAGGTAGGTCCTTCCAGGCAGGTTGGAGCAGTGACCTATGGCTCTAGGTGGACGCACTTTGTCAGCAGGTGTGCACATGAATTTATTGAGCTCTCGGATCCCAGGATCAAACACCCCTGGACTTAGAAACAGGCTCACTCTGACTCTCTGTTGAGCAATTTCTATTTCTTCTGCCTGTAAAGAAGGCAATGTAGAAAGCAGTACCAACTATGAAGCAGCATGTTGATATCTGATACACAATATTTATTATAAATATAGAGCAATTTTTACAAATCATTCAGAAGTGGCCTCAGCCAGGCAAAATTAAATTATGCAGAAGTGCTTGCATGAGTGGAGGTGTACACAGTCTGTATCAGGGTGAGAAAACCCTGAAAGAGGTACCTGAGTACTGAGCGCTCCCAGCCACCCCTCTTGGGGGCCAGTTCCACACAGCAGGAGGTCCGTCATGAAGGTGGAATAAAGTCTTTCTCTCAGCAGCCCAAGGAGGCCCCGTCTGTGCAGAAGGCTGGTGGGAAGCAGGGGCGCCTCTCCTCCTCCCGTCCTCCCTTTCTGTGCTGACAATTTGGTCCCATGCACCCCATGGGAGAAGAATTCCAGAGGCTCTTCAAGAAACTGAGGGCTGAGTCATAATCTGCACCTTGTGTCCTAAGGAGCGTGCACACCAGTGTGGCTTCCTGGGCTGTAAACAATGCTAACAGCACAAGGGGCCGTGTTCCCTTCAGGGCGCTCCTGCTTCTCAAGAAGGCGTCCTGAGAAGGTAAGCAGGGCAGACGGACAGAACAGACACAGGCGGGAACACAGAAGAGAAGGGGGTTGATGACTGGCCTGAGATGCCTAGAAACAGAGTGAGACCCATTTCTGGCCGTGAAGTTGGGCAACTGCTACTTCTTATTTTCTGTGTGGAGCCCCTGACACAAAAGGCTTAGGGAGCTCATGGCCAGGGGGACATGAGGGGCTTTGGTAGGTTCTTCCCCCTAAAGTGGTCAGATTGGCTTATGCAGTAAATTAAACAGAACCCCTTTCATATAAACAAGCAGTTACAAAAATTAAAATGGCAGAATGTCTCAGAAGGAAGGGAAAAAACAACCAATACCCCCAAATTGTACATTCTTTGACCATTATTTAAATAATCTCTGCAGGGTAACTTTCTGAGTCCTTTCCCCAATCCCAGCAGATTGTATCTGGTAAGAGCTGACTGCCCCATAAACCGATGACCCCTCAATCTCTGGGCATTGCCTTGAATAAAGCCCACAGTATTATTAAAACAGTATGTGCGGTTTTTTTGTTTGTTTTTGCAGTTTCCATCAAGATACACTTATGAACGCTGAGAAGTTGTTTTCTAGTTGCTTCTAGTGGGTTCTCTGAAGGCATGCTTTCAAAGGTTTAGATGGTATTCTAGCTAAGTAGTAAGTTGTTTAGTCCCTGATCCTGCAGGTAGACAACCCTGAAAGTGGACAAAGGTGTAGAACTTCCCAGCTCAGAGCTGGTCATGTATGTGTCTTCCTGTGAATGGTGGGTTCACACTAGGCTTCAGAGTGCAGAAGCTCTTCATTTTCCTTCTCCTTGCTTTTCTTTTCTGGCACAGGCATTTCAGTGGATAAGAAATAATTCTCCAGGTTATGGCAAATTCATGTTAGACTCCAATAGGACTGAGGTGGGAAGGAATGAATGTGTTCTGAATGCACAAGTTTACAACTGGTCTAGGTCAGCAAATGGGGAGAGGCAGAGCTTCTGGCAACTTTCTCCCAAGGTCTGCTTTGCTAGATTTCAATGACGAGGAAGTTTTGGTTTCCTACAGACCTCCTCATGGATGTGCCTTTTCATCCACTGACACTGAAGGAAGGGGCTGTGATCAGGCAGCCTGGAGGAGCCTCATTAGGGATCGAAAGGGCTGGGGGAAGACTCTCTCCTCATTTTCCCTGAGGGCAGAGGGATCTCCTGGGGATGGAGGTGGGAAGCTTGGAATAAGTCAACAGTGCAACAAGCAGGACAGGTTCCATTACTGATTTTTCACTTCTGAATAAATTGTTTCTGTATGTGTTGGAGATGGGGAGGCTGAAGTTGCTTTCTTTTTTAATTCCTGGGCATTGAAGTTCAGGGAGGAATATTCAATTTCATTAACCTGAAAGGCATGAGCAGCAGTCAGTTAAATCAGCATCATAGGCCACACCCTCACCTTGTCCAGGGTCACTCAGCATCCCATGCTCTTACCACTTGAAACTTTTAGCTTCAGAGAAGGGCTTTTATTACCTATTTTCTCTGCTTAGTAACATCCTATTGAATAATCATTAGAACATTATGGATGATTATGGAATTCTACAATGGAATACGATGGCATAGCAATAAGAATAAGTAGACAATAAAGGCACACAACCATATGAATGAATCTTGCAAAACAATTTTCAATGAAAGAAGCCAGACCCATGTACACAGTGTGTTTTTCAGTTCTATAAGCCCATAATCAGGTAAAAGTAATCTAATGCATTGGAAGTGAAGATAGTCCTTACTCTTCAGAGGGAAGTAACTGGAGCATTGTGTGTGTGTGTGTGTGTGTGTGTGTGTGTGTGTGTGGTGAGGGGGATTGATTTTTTTTTAAATGATTGGTACTGTTTACATAGATATGAACAACTTGTGGAAACTTACACACTGTTAAAATTATTAGGTTGGTCAGAAAGGTCATTCAGGTTTTTCCATAAGATTTCACGGAAAAACTCGAACAAACTTGGATCAACCCAATACTTATGATTGACGCATTTTTCAGTTTATATGTGTATTCTGTTGAAGATTAAGATGAGTAAAATTCAGTAAAAGTATTAGAAGGTAAAGGAATCAAGACCTCAGGTCTATAACATTGGAAATTATCATTTGTCAGTATCAGCAGAGTCAGACTGGAGGCAGAAGAGGGAGAATGATCTAGTGCCTTTCTTGCTCTGGCCACTGTGCTGAGTGCTTTACCTTTGTTATGTCATTTAATTCCTTGACCTCCTCTGTGAAGTAGGCAGCACACCCATTTTTCAGAGGACTCAGCTGAGGCTCTATGAGGTTAAGTTACTTGTCCATGGTCCCAGCTGTGATCAAGTCCAGTGAGGTGAACTCGTGGGAGTAATGCTTCTTTGTTGCTGCAGTGAAGAACTTTGACCCAAACTGATTTCACATTTGTGTCTACAAGACTAACCCATTCTACACAGAGATATTTTCATGAGAAAAGGAGCCAGTGAAGCTGGCTGTGCTTACCTTTTCAGGTGAACTGTCAGAGTGTCCTTGACCTGGGGAACAAAGGAGAGTCATCAACCCATGAAAGTGCAGAGTTGCCTTATGGCCTCAGAAAGGACTGTTCCTAAAGCTGATGTGACTTCTAGCTGAAGGAGGTGGCAGGTGGTGGGAGGGTGGGGGCCCATGATTAAGACTTAAGGATTTCTCTTCCCTCAGTCTGTGGTCCAGACCCCAGTGCATTAGACCTAGGTGGTGGTGGGGCAGGGTGGGGGTGTTGAGGGGAGGCCTCAGTGCACTTCTGAAGATTTCTACCAGTTCACAAGGCCTGAGTTTTGCCCACGTGTCTCACAGGTGTGTGTCTAGGCAGCAGGCTCCAGAGGCAGGACGGGCTGAGGCCCACAGCACCAAGAGCACCAGAGGCAGGGAAAGTCTCACCATAGGAGATGCCCACATCCATAACAGAGGCAGGAGGGGGAAGGAGGTAGGATGAGGAAAGGGCTCCTGGAAGCTTGGCCATCTCACGGCTGCCTGGCTTGTGTGGCCTCGGAGGGGCCATGTCTCTGGGGACTCTTCCATGACTAGAAAGGGTGTGAGGACCTGTGCCAAACTGAGGGTGGGGACTGAGATCACCTCTCACATTTCAGAAGGTAGGGGTTCCCTGGTCAGTCAGGGCACGTGGTGGAACAAACCAGCTCTCACTGAGTGAGTAGCTCTACTTACTGTGGTTGTGATCTGAGGATTTGTGCTCTGTGAGATCGCGCTGGTCAGTTGCCCTAAATAAATATCAGACACAGTGACTACTATTCCCAGGCACAGGGTCTTTGCTCCTTGAATTAGGAAGCACAGTGTCGGCATGATTCCGTGGGGCTCCTCCATGTTCATTTTTACCTTGGTTGGTCCTCCTTCTTCCTAGGACTGCCGTCTTCAATCTACCCATTACCCCCTCTCATGTTTACTCCTCTCTGGGTTACTGGGTCTTCAGAACATTTACGGCCATTCATCTCAACTGCTTCTATTTCTACCCGGACATCTTTCCACTTTTGTAGGTAGATGCTGGTTATTTCTCACTTTATTAATTGCCCAGGAGGGCTTGGGTTGTTCCTGCTTTTCTTACGTTCTCTTCCAGTCCTGTCCCTCCCTCCTCCTGCTCTTGTGGTTGACAGAGCACAGGACTCCCTTCCTCCTGCTCCTCCTTTCATGTCCTCATTAGTTTTCCTTCTTGGACCTTGGTTTCCCTGCCTGGGATAGAGGAACACAATTGGCTCTGCCCCCTCTAAACCAGATGGAAGTGGGAATAGCCATGTCCAAGAGACAGGGGGTTACAAGAAACATGAAGACCAGGGGGAAGAGGAGACCCATAAGAATCAGTGCTGAGAAGCAGGAAGACTGAGGAGCAGATCTAGGCCAGAGACAGAGACGAAGTCTCCTTCCCTCTCCCAAGCAGGGCAGTCAGCCTCGAAGAAAGTGGAACAAGAGGAAAGGTGGCATACCGTGTAGTTTCTCTGATGTACAGAAAATACCCCAGGGCTGCTATCAGAGCCACCCCAGCCACAGCTCCAATCACGATGCCGACAATGGCACCAGCTGAGAGGTCAGAGGAACTTTCTGGTGTTGGTTTATCTGTTGTGGGAAGAAAAGAGAAGAATGAATGAAGGTGACATTATTTTACAGTGGGAGGGGCTCTAGGAAATAACTCAATATGAAATAGTCTCTACTTGTTCCTCCAAGGTATAAACTTTCTGTGGAAGGTTGCTGTGTGGTGAGTAACCGCCTATATCCTTGCGATTTTTTTCCTCTCTGATTGTACTTCTAGGTTGGTGACCACATTCCTTAATTCCAACCTGGCTTTTCTGCACTCATATGTTTGACGTCTTTGGAAATGTAAGACGGACTGATGATGGTTATTTTTGTATGTTATAACTTCCCGTCTTTTCATGGTTACATCTTTATCTGGGTACCAGGTATGGCTGCCATGAATATGCACCTGTTAGGTGTCTTATGAAAGTGTGAGTTCCTGAGTCATGTCTGACTCATTGTGACCCCACGGACTGTAGCCCGCCAGGCTCCTCTGTCCATGGGATTTCCCAGGAAAGAATACTGGAGTGGGTTGCCATTTTTTTCTCCTGGGGATCTTCCTGAGCCGGGGATCTTCCCGACCTGGGGATCTTCCCAACCCAGGGATTGAACCCAGGTCTTCTGCATTGCAGGCAGATTCTTTACTCTCTGAGCCATAGGAGGTGTCTTATGGTGGGGACTTAATTGATGGAAGGCCCTCTGAATTCACTACCCCTTTGCACAGAGACCATCCTTCACACAGATTTCCAGTAGGAATATGAAATCAATCCCAATTCTGTAAGAAATAAATTTTTGTGTGTGATGGATGACTTTTATTTTTTATTTATTTTTTCTTTTTACACTCCCCTCACCCCCATCGATGGGTGACTTTTAATTCAAGGGCTCCTTGCCAGCTTTGTAGATATTCTCTTAGAACTGCACTGCAGCCTGAAACTTCCTCCTTCCTAGGGATCCTATGTGCATCCTGCTCTGAGGACCCTCCGAGGCTCCTCCCACTCCTGCCTCACTTTCCTTCACAGGCATTTTCCACAATGAATGTCTTAGATGTCTAATCCCATCTTGGCTGCATCTCACGGAATGAAAACTATCATACTAGACATGAAACCTTGTACTCAACCCCCCTGTGTCCTCTCTTCTATATTTAGTAAGTAACATGTTCCTGTGGATCTTTGTGCTTTCCTTCCCAAAATATATAATACCTTTTGTCTGTTTTTTCTTTTTTACTTCAGTGGTCCTCACCGTTCAACTCAAGACTGAAAATCAGTGCTAATGTTAGCTATTGTTATGACATACATAATTTGTGCCAGGCTCTGTGCTATATATTTGCCAAATATCTCATTTAATTCATATAATAACCCTGTTAGATAGACATTATTTCCATTTTATAGATGGAAAATCTGAGGTTTACTATGGTGGAAAACCTAAAGCCATATGGCTAATGAGATGTGGATCGAGAGTCAAGTAGTCCTAGGAATACTTGACTTTATATAGCCTAATGAAGTCGAGAAGATCCCCTGGAAAAGGAAATGGAAACCCACTCCAGTATTCTTGCCTGGGAAATCCCATGGACAGTGGAGCCTGGTGAGCTATAGTCCGTGGGGCCTCAAAGAGTTGGACAGGACTTAGTAACTAAACAGAAGCAACAACAATGATAATAGTAATAATTATAGCAGCTAAATTGTTTGGAAAATGTTCCCCGTGTGGGTATTTTGCTAAGGGTTTAGTTGAATATTACATTAAATCTGTGAAAAAATGCCATAAAGAAGGTTCTTTTATTGCAGTTCTCCCTTGAAGACTCTGAGGCTCAGAGAAGTTAAGAATCTTGTGCAAGAATTTATAATTGTAAATGCTTATATTAAAAAAAAAATCTCAAATCAACAACCTAAATTTACAACTTGAGGGACAAGAATAAAAGCTAAACCCAAAGCTAGCAGAAGGAAGGAAATAATAATAATTAGAATGGAGATAAATAAATTAGAGAATGAAGAAACAGTAGATAGAATCAATAAAACCAGTATTTTTTTCTTCAGAAAGATTAACAAAATTGACAAATCTTTAAGTAGATTGACTAAGAAAAAAAAGGGAAGATTCAAATCATAAAAATCAGAAATGAATGTGGAATCATTACTACTAATTCTACAAAAATAATACAAAGTATAAGAGTACTAGGAATAATCCTATGCCAACAAATTGGATAACTTCTGTGAAATGGACAAATTCCTGGAAACATGAGAGCTATCAAGATGTAATCATAAAGAAATAGAATATATGAACAGACATATAAAGTAAGGAGGTTAAATAAATAAAATCCTTTGACAAAAACCCACTAATCTTTTATGATAAAACACTCAAAACCGGGGAAGAAAGGAAACCACCTCAACATAATAAAGGCCATATATAAAAACCCCACAGCTAACATTATCCTAAATGGTGAGTGAACATTTATTTTTTGAAATCAGGAGCATGATAACAATGCCTGCTTTTTCCAATTGTATTCAAAATAGTATTGGACATACTATCCAGAGCAATTAGGCAAGAAAAAGAAATAAAAGATATCCAAATTGCAGAAGAAGAATAAAATTATTTCTGTTTGCAGATGACATGACCTTATATGTAGAAAATGATAAAGATTTCCCAGAAAACTGTTAGAACTAATAAACAAGTTCATCAAAGTTGAAGGATACTAAAACAACATGTAAAGATCAGTTGCAAAAAAACAAACAAAAAAAGATCAGTTGCTTTTATATAAAATATATTCAATAAGGAAGTTAAGAAAATTTTATTCTATTTTGATATTAAAAATAATATCAAAAGAACAAAATACTTAGAAATTAACAAGGAGGGTGAAAGATTTATACATTTAGGAATTATAAATAAACACTACTGAAAGAAATTAAAGAAGATGTAAACAAGAGGAATGGATAAAGAAGATGTGGTACATATATGTACCATGGAATATTACTCAGATATTAGGAGAATGAAATAATCCTATTTTCAAAAACATGGATGGACCTAAAGAGTCTCATACTAAGTGAACCAAGTTGGACAGAGAAAGACAAATATCATATGCTATCACTCATAAGTGGAATCTAATTTTAAAAAGTGATACAAATGAACTTATTTACAAAACTCAAATAGACTCAACATATTTAGAAGACAAACCTATGGTTACCAAAGGGGAAATGTGTGTGTGTGGGAATAAATGAGGAGCATGGGGTCAACATATACATACTACTATATATAAAATAAATAACCAACAAGGACCTACTGTATAGCATGGGGAGCTCTACTCAATATTCTGTAATAATCTATATGGCTAAAGAGTCTGAAAAAGAATGTATATATGTATACGTATAACTGAATCACTTTACTATACACCTGAAACTGACACAACATTGTAAAATATATTCCTTTAAATTTTTAAAAAAAAAAAACAGACAAATGGCCAATAGACACATGAAAAGATGCTCAACATCACCAGTAATTAGGGGAATGCAAATCAAAACCACAGTGAGATATCACTTCTTACCCTTTAGAATGGTTATGAAAAAAAAAAAAAGCAAAAAGAAAACAAGAAGTATTTGCAAGGATGTGTAAAAATTGAAACTTTTGTGCATTGCGGGTGAGAATGCAAAATGGTACAACCACCGTGGAAAACTACATGGCTGTTCATCAAACAGTTGGACAAACAATTGCCATTTGATCCAGTGATTCCACTGCTGGTTGTGTGCCCAAAAGACTGAAAGCAGGAACTTCCCTAGTGGTCCAGTGGTTAAGAATCCACCTTCTAATGCAGAGGACATGGGTTCAATCCTTGGTCAGGGAACTAAGGTCCCAGATGCCTCAGAGCAACTGAGCCTGTGTGCCACAACAGGAGAATCCATGTGCCACAGCAAGAGAAGCCATCGCACTGCAACTAAAGAAAGCCCACACACCACAATGAAAAGCCCGAACGCTGCAATTAAGACCCAGTGCAGCCACAATAAAAAAGATTGAAAGCAGTGACTGAACAGATACTTATACACCCATGTTCATGGTAGCATATTCACAACAGCCAAAAGGTGGAAACAATTTAAAAGACAATCAACTTACGAATGATCAAATGTTGTGTATACATACAAGGGAATATACTTCAGCCTTTCAAAGGAATGAAATTCAGATATATGCTATAATATGGACGGGACCTTGAAGACATAATGCTAGTAAGTGAAATAAATCAGACCCAAAGGGATAATTATAATATTATATGATTCCACTACTTTGGCCATCTGATGCAAAGAGCCAACTCATTGGAAAAGACCCTGATGCTGGGAGGAGGGCAGGAGGAGAAGGGGATGACAGAGGATGAAATGGTTGGATGGCATCATCGAACTCAATGGACATGAGTTTAAGCAATCTCTGGGAGACGGTGAAGGACAGGGAAGCCTGGTGTGCTACAGTCCTCGCGGTTGCAAAGAGTTGGACATGACTGAGCGACTGAACTATAACATGATTCCACTTATACAAAATAACTATCATAATCAAATTCATAGAGACAAAGAAAGTAGAATGGTGTTTGCCAGGGTTTGAGGTGGGGGACTTCTAGAAGTTATTGTTTAAGGGGTACAGAGCTTTTAGTAAGATGAAAAAGTTCTAAATGGATAGTGGCAATGTGAATGTACTTAATGCTAGTGAGCTGCAGTCTTAAAAATGGCTAAAATTATATATTTTATGTATTCTTCACGTTAAAAAAAAGGTAACGGAAAAAAAAAACCAACAATAAATCTTGTGAAAGTTACACTAAAATGTTAAACCCAGGAGAAGAAACTGTATTTGATTCAGAGATTGAGCTGTTACTCATTCTGCCACCTGTTTACTGTGTGCATGTATTCAGTTGCTCAGTTGTGTCTGACCCTTTGCAACCCTATGGACTGTAGTCCGCAAGGCTCCTCTGTCCATGGGATTTCCCAAGCAAGAATACTGGAGTGGCTTGCCATTTCCTCCTCCAGGGGAGCTTCCCAACCCAGGGATCAAACCTTCGTCTCCTGCATTGCAGGAGGATTCTTTACCACTGAGCCACCTCAGAAGCCCTGTAGTGGTCTCATTTGATATTCTGCCTACAGTGACCTCTCTCCATTTTCCACACAATTTTTAGAATAATCCACAGAGAAAGATATAGTATAAGGCAAATGGTCACTTACATTGCACATGCAGCCTGAGAGGGTCACTTTTGCTGGAGTTGCCCCCGTTGGAGACCTCACACTGATAATCCCCGGCATCCTTTCTGCTGACGGGGTCTATGGTGAGGGTGCTATTGTCCAGGGACAGTGTTATCCCCCTTGTGAGGAGGAGACTCTGGCCTTGGAAGAACCAGCGTATGGAGACCCCAGTCTCATTTGTGAGGCAGGTCAGGACCACGGGACCTTCATGTTCTGTGACGGTGGTGTTGCTGGCTTGGAGGCAGGGCCGTGCCACTGGGTCTGTGGAGAGACAGAGGGGTGACTGCTGAGAGTGGGTCAGGGGCCTGGGCCATGCTCCCTCTCAGAGATCTCAGCCAGCCCCGGGCCCCAGTGACCTCTGTAAAGGTGACCTAGAGGATGGCCCTGAATCTGTGATCACGGTATGGAGTCTCTCTTCATTGATGATCTGTAAGGAGAGGACTGTACCTCCTCTCTGGCCCCCAGGTACCCTGGGATGGCCCCTGACCAGTCTCCCTGGACATCTCCGTAGTATCAGCACCAGGACCCTCTTCTCAGCCCATATGTCTAACATCTTCATCATCAAATGGAGTTTTTTTTTTTTTTTTAATTAACTTTCCTGGACCTTTTCCCACAATTTTCTTTGACTATAAAAAATTTCAGGGACTTCCCTGGTGGTCCAGTGGCTAAGACATCACACTCCCAATGCAAGGGGCTCAGGTTTGATCCTTGGACCGGAAACTAGATCCCACATCCTGAAACTAAGAGTTTTCGTGCCACAACCAGATCTCACATGCCACAACTAAGACCCAGTGCAGCCAAATAAGTAAATGAAAATACATAAATTGAAAAAAATTTAGCCCCCAATATGTAAAATAGCCAGCTAGTGGGAAGTTGTGTATAACACAGGGAGCTCAGCCTGGTGCTCTGTGACAACCTGGGCGGGGGGTGGGGGTTGGTAGGGAGACTGAAGAAAAAGGGGACCTTATGTATACTAATGGCCAATTCACGCTGTTGTATGGGGGAAACCAATACAATACTGTAAAGCAATTATCCTCCGGTTTAAAAAAAATCAAGTCCCATTCCTTATTTACACTTCCGTGAAGGCAGGCCTGGCAGCTCTGTATATCTCTGGGGCCAAGGGGACTTCCATAAAGTGGGGGAGGCATTCACTTTCTGTTACATAATTTCTTATGGCCCAACTCAGTCTTCCTGGACTGTGTAGAAGAGTTAAATATCTGAGTCAGGGACAGTCTTGTTTTACAGTTTCCCAACAATAACTACCCCTTCATTTTCACTCATCCTGCGTCTGAGACATTAACCTGTTTCTCCCATCACAGGCTGGTGACCCTGAGCCTCTCAAGACAGAGCAGTCTTGGCTCAAGGCTGGGCCTGCCTGGACTTGCCTGGGACAGGAAGTCATGGCCAGCCTGGGTGTCCAAAGGTGAGGCTCCATGCATTGGGACCTAAGAGGGATGGGTACGGCCTGGCCTCTGGCACTGTAAATTCAGCCAGGTGGCCTGGACCACATAGGAACAGAGGTTACTCACAGAGAACATTCAGGGTGAATGGGTCACTGCGGCTGACACTCACTGGGTTCCGGGCTTCACACACATAGGGTCCTGTGTCATTCCTTGTCACATTGAACACAGTGAGAGTCCTCTTGTCCTCAGACAGTTCCAGCCTGGTGCTGTTGGGGAGGCTCTGATTGTTGATCCACCAGATGTAGGAGGTGTTCTGGGTCTCAGATCCACATGTTAACACCACAGTGTCCTCGTGCTCCCAGGGGTTGGAGTTGTTGCTGGTGATGACGGGTGTGGGTAGCACCGCTGTGCAGATAACAGAGAGAACATTGCCCCTTTTATATCTTGGGTTCCTCTAAAAGCATTTTCAATCAGGGTTGCCATCTTTCTCCTCTCAGCCAGACTGAGCCCTTAAAGAATAAGGCAGGTCTGTGTATCACGAGACAAATGCATGAATATCTGAGCTCAGAGAGTGTGAGGCCATCTGCTGTTATGTCTGGAAGAAGCACAGACTTCCTCAAGTGTCAGTCAGGTGTCAGAGTTTGATAGCATAATCCCAGGCCTGTGACTCAGAGACCACTTGCTTCCTCTGGCCATGGCCCTGGGGTGCTCACCTGGACTGGGCAGGTCCTTGAGTCCCTTCAAGCTGCACAGACCTACATTGCCTGATGGAGACATGTCTTCACCGTCTCCTCAATTCCCAAGGTTTCCTAGAGATGGGTAATGATGGGCATTCCCCTAGTCCTTAAACCCCAAGAAGACTGGGCAGCACAGCCTGGAACTGGGTGTTTGAGCAGAAATAACACACGGGGACGTCCCTGGTGGCTCAGTGGTAAAGAATCCGCCTGCCAATGCAGGGGACGTGGGTTTGACCCCTGATACGGGAAGATCCCACATGCCATGGGGCAACTAAGCCCGTGCTCCACAACTACTGAGCCTGGGCTCCAGTACCTGAGTGCTGCGACTACTGAAGCCCGTGCCCCGAAACAAGAGAAGCCACCACAGTGAGGAGCCTGTGCACCGCAACGGAGCATAGCCCCCACTCCCTGCAGCTAGAGAGAGCGCGTGTGCAGCAGAACCACAAATAAATAAATAAATGGACATTAAAGTTTAAAGAAAAAGAGGACAGAATGAATCAGAGGGCAAGTGGAGTCTCTGTTTTAAAAAAGGGAGGAATGATCTCAAAGAGCAGAAATGATATGTGCTCAGTCGTTCAGTCTTGTCTGACTCTTTGCGACCCCATGGACTGCAGCCCTCCAGGCTCCTCTGTCCATGGGATTCTCTAGGCAAAAACACTGGAGTGGGTTGCCATGCCCTCCTCCAGGGGACCTTCCCAACCAAGGGAATGAACCCAGGTCTCCCTTACTGTAGGCAGATTCTTTACTGTCTGAGCCAGCAAGGAAGCCCAGAACTGATATGTGTTCTATTAATAAAGTTAGAGGAAGAGGTCCCTCTCGCCAGTTTCCACTGCAAATCAGGCAAATGGGAAGGGGGCCCACCACAGGCATGTGGCATGCTTTTTTTTTTCTCTCTCTCTCAGAAAACACAACTAAGTGTTTGATCAAATTTGTCTGAGTCGGGCCAAGGCTAAGTGAAAAGACAGTGGCTTGGGCCCCTCATCGTCGGAGAGCATCCCACCCTGTGATAAAGGTGACATCCTGAGGACACACGGGTGATGAAGTAGGCAATAAAGCAATCAGATGGCACAGGTCTGTCAGTCCCATCCTGGGAAGGTCTTGGGAATCCCTGAGAGGAACGGGAGGGTCACACCAGGACAAGGCTGTGCGTCACAAGTTAAAGAGGTGAAGTGAGCCCATGAGCCCCTGGGGACTGCAGACCTGTCTTGCTGCCTTTAGCTTCCTGCTTGAGTTACATTAGGGAATAGATCGGTGGGGGGGGGGGGGGGGCTACATATCCTTGTCACGTGGCATGATTCCACCGGCTGGCACCATGGAGGGAAAGACCCCTGGACCAAGGCAAAGCTGAAGTTCATTCTCCTGGTGACCTGGGGAAAGTGGCTTGTGCTGGAGCCCCACAGAGGCTGCTGCTCCCAGATTTCTGAGTCCTTTACTATTGCCTGGGAGGGCGCACCTGGCCAGAAGCCAGGCTGGGAACAGGGCAGTCAGTTATTTGGGGAAGTATCTGTGGAAGGCTTAAGGATTTGGGGGAGGCGGTGCTTCCCCAGTGGCTCAGCTGGTAAAGAACCTGTCTGCCAGTGCAGGAAACATGAGTTTGGGAAGATTCCCTGGAGAAGGAAATGGCAACCTGCTCCAGTATTCTTGCCTGGAGAGTTCCATGGACAGAAGAGCCTGGCAGGCTACAGTCCACTGGGTCACAAAGAGTCGGATATGACTGAGCAACTAACACTTTCACTTTCACTTGCCAGTATTCTTGCCTGAAAAAATTCTATGGACAGAAGAGCCTGGCAAGCTCCTACAGTCCGTAAGATTGCAAAGAGTCAGACATGACTAAGTGAATGAACAAGGGTGGGGGGCGGGGGCTTCCTTAGTGGCTCAGCTGGGAAAGAACCTGTCTGCCAATGCAGGAGATGCAAGAGACCTGAGTTTGATCCCTGAGTTGGGAAGATTCCCTGGAGAAGGAAATGGCAACTGGCTCCAGTATACTTGTCTGGAAAATTCCATGGACAGAGGAGCAAACAGTCAAACATGACTGAGAGTGCACGCACGAATCTCAGGGCAGGTTGCTGTGCAGAGCAGGGCCAGTCCCGGCTGAAATGAAGGAGGAAGGTGAGAGACATGGAAAGAGCAGAGAGCGAGAAATATCCACTTACAAGTGACTTCAAAGTGGGGGTTTCAAGTGACTTCAAACATCCAGAGGTCTAAGAGCCCCACTGTGGCCCAGAAGCAGGCCCCCTGCCCCCCACCCCTGGAAACCCTCCCACGGCAGAGCAGCCCCACAGCTGCGGTGAGACTTGGCTCCCAGTGCGCTTTAGAGGCAGGTGGTCAGAGGATAAAACACCAGTCCCCTCCCTGGAAAGACAGGCGGCAGGCGTGGCTAGAGCCTCCTAGGACTCTACATCCAGATTCCAGGGTCTGAAGAGATCACAGATCATTCATCCGTCCTTTTCCCTTCCATTCTTCCTTCCCCAGAGAAACACTGAGAGCCTGTCAGGCCCTGTGCTGGGTGCAGGTGTAGATGGGGAGTGAGGAAGTGGACTGAGTCCTTTCCATTTTACTCCAGTGGGAGTGACACCCAACACCTCCAATAACCAGCAAATAAATGATCTCTGGTTCACTCAGTTCGAGGAGCTTGTACATCGGCTACCTAAGGAGGGGAGGCCTGGACATTCCTGTCACTAATTTGATTGTTGATGCAGGTAATTTGCAAGAATCCTGGACTGGGTTGCCATGCCCTCCTCCAGGGTATTTTCCTGACCCAGTGATCGAACCCGTGTCTCTGACATCTCCTGTATTGGCAGGTGGGTTCTTTACCACTAGAGGCCACCTGGGAAGCTCTAGTTGCAGAGTAAACGGGATTAACTGTCCATTTCCCTTAACTTTTCACACTAGAATCTCCCTCTGGTTGAGGATGCCCAAGGAGAAAGGATCTGAACCAACACTTGGTTTCCGGGTTCCTAGATAAGGCCCCTGGGAGGGAGGAGAGGGTGGGGCTGTGATGTTGGCCTGACCCTTCCACACATATTTCCCCTGACTGGCCACTCATGGTCTGTGTGACTCTGATTCACTGACTGTATCTCCCTGTATTTTACTGAGCTTGTCTTCAGTAAAACAGAATAAATGGTAAATGGTGTCAGGAGTGCCATGTTGTCTGTGTATTAACCTTAAATCATGAATAATTAGCTGGTCTAAAGCTGGACATAGAAACTGTTTCTAGGGACTTCCTGGTAGTCCAGTGGTTAAGAATCTGCCCTGCAATGCTAGAGATGCAGGTTCTGCTGGTTTTGGAACTAAGATCCCACAGGCCTCGGAGTAACTAAGTGGACCAACAAAGCCCGGGAACTACAACGAAAGATCCTATATGACGTAATGAAGGCCTGATGCAGCCTAATAAATACATAAATAAATATTTTTAAAAAGAAAACCCTGCCTCTATTATTATTCGCGTCCACAGGAGTGGGCTCCCTGGGCTGCCCACTGCGGGATGAGGAGCTGCCGGGAGGGTCTTCTCTCTTCTGGTCCTTCTTGGGGACGCTGACCTTCCTCTGGAGACTCCACTGAGGCCCAGGGAGTCGGCTAATGACGTGGGGACCCAGCCTAGCCTGCTCTCCATGCTGAGTCTCAGGGGAAGGACTGGACTTCACCCCTGCTCAGACACGGCTCTTGGGGCTGAGCCCTGGCCAGTGACCTGCTGAGAAACCTTGGCCTCAGGGAGCTGGGGAATCATCCGCCCCAGTCAGCCCCGCCTAGGAGGCCAACACCCACCAGTGGCCCAGGTTCTCCGTGGTCACTGGAGCCGGGACCTGGGACAGGGTCTGGGGAGGGGCTTCCCCGTGGGCCTGAGCTTCTCTGTGAGGATCCCTCAGGCCAGGCCCCTACTGAGTCCTGCAGGGTCTTCCTTAGGGTCATGGTTGCAGGGAGGGACCCAGGGGGGCTGGACTGAGAGTTCTCTCCCTCTGCTGAGTCCCTCCCATCAGACCATCCTTCTTTCTTCACGGTGTTTGCAGGGTCCAGATCCCCTGAGTGGAATTCTGACCCTTCGGAGTTTGTCTCCATTATGTGTGTCCTGCACTAAATGTTCAACCCCCAACACGGCACATAATGTAGAGGGAGATGGAGGCACCATCCGGGTATGTCAAAGCAGAATTCAACTGCTTCCCACCCCAACACCCCGAGGTAAGAGGAAGCACTCACGGTGTATGTTGAGGTGTCCGGTCTGTCTTTCTGTCTGTAAATCATTCTTTAAAATGAGCAGGGTGTAGGATCCTGTGTCTTTCTGGGTGATGTTCTGGATCAGCAGGGTTCCATTGGGGTAAAGTGTCTCCCGTCCACTGTGTACAGACCCAGTGGTAGTTACATTAGTGTCTGCTCTATATGATGCAATTAGCAGGCTGTTTTCTACCCTTTCTCCTCTGTACCAGGAATAGCCTAGAGGATTCTCTGTCACGTTGTGGGCAAGTAGAAGAACATCCGATCCTTCTGCAGCAAGTGGGGGCACCACTTCAATAGTGAGCTGGGCAGTGGTGGGCAGGGGCCAGAAAGTTAAGAGTGAGACTAGGAGGGAAGAGAGAGAAATCAGTTAATATTCTGACCTGTGTGGGGGATGGGAAAATGGTGCCCGGGGTCCTAAGCAGCTCTCTTCATCCCTCAGCCTGTGTGTGTGTGTGTGTGTCCTCCTGGTTCAAGGTCAGCAGCATGACCCCCATCACTTCAGCCCCTCTGGGCTCTGTATTTCCTCTGTTTCCCCAGCTGTCCCCCGGCTCACTCCCTCACTGCCCTCACACACCTGCTCACACTCAGAGGCCTCTTGGGAGATGTCCTCCCCCCCCCCCACCTGCTCTAAAGGCCCTCCGTGTTCACTTGCTGACCCTTCCCTGCTCCATTTCCTGCATGACGCCTGTCAGCGCCTGACAGCACATTCTAGATTTCTCTGCTTGTCTGTCTTCCTCCCCACAGAGTGTAAGCTCCGTGAGGGCAGGGGCTTGTCTGATCCTGCTTGAAACGCAGTGCCAGGACCAGGCTCCAGACATTGTACCTGGGGATGAAGGAATGAGAGGTCCCAGGAATTCCACAGTCTGGTTTTGTCAGTTTCTGAGGGTGCTGGGTAAGGACAATGTTTAGCGTCGCGGTTAAGTGTTTTTCTGTAGTGACACCCAGACATAAGTTATTATTATCGTCATCAGTTTTCAACAGTTACTGCTCAGTGAAGAATAACTTGTAAAAGCTACACTAGTTGAAGTTTTCCTGCCCCTCACCAGTTCTAGTTCATGGAGAGTCTCCTGTGGCTGAGCCCCCCACCCTTCCCTGCTCTCCTGTCCTCTGCCCTCAGGTCTGAACAGAAGTCCTCTGTCCCCTCTCAGAGCCCCGTCTCCCCCAGTGATCCCACCCAGTCTCTTGTTCTCCCTGAAAACTGTCTCTGCCCACTCCCTGAAAATTGTCCCCACTCACCTGCCAGCAGGTGCCTGTTCCAGGGGACATACCGTCTGCGGGAAGGGCCTGAGGGGGGCTCCATGGTGCCTGCTGTCTGCTGCGTCCCTCTCTCTGTGAGGAGAACTTCTGCTCCAGAAACGCTCACAAGCCCTGCAGTCGCTGGGTGAGCTCTGCTTCCCCCTCTGTGCTGGGCCTCCTCCCGGGGCAGACTACTTGCTAGTTCAAGAGGCCCGGGGGCGGGGTCTCTGCCCAGGCCCCACCCTCTCCCTCCCCTCTCTTTCCCGCCTGCCTTCTCTCCTCTTCCCTCTTCCCTTTCTGTTACATTTCATTTGCCTGGGAAGCGCTGCTGTTTCTGCCTTTGGCAGCTTGACTTCTCACCCTAGACACACACACACACACACGTATGCAGTTCCCCCACTGTTGGGGAGAGCACCTCCTTGGGGCTCCTGTCCTGGGCGTTCCCCTGTAGGTCTCAGTTGGGGGGTGCAGTAAGCTTCCCGGCTTCCACAGTCTCCAGCCTCATGTTCTCCTTCTGGCTCTCCCCTGCAGAGCAGGAGCCTGGGGGGTGGGGAGGAGGTGCATCGGGAACTCTAGTCATAGGGACAGTGTCCCCACGGTGCATGGGAACCACCTGTGGAGCTTCATGAAGACTTTGAACCCCCCAGAGGGACCTTAGGAAAGCTGCTTCAGCAGCCACACAGGTCATGTGCTTGCCCAGCCTGGCTGAGACTCCAGAATGTGGGGCGGGAGCAGCCTCTCCCCAACTTTGATGCACAGGGAGGGTCTGCAGATCCTGTTAAAATGCAGAGCCCGACCCAGCAGGGGTGGGGTGGACCTAAGAGTCTGCATCTAACAAGCTCTCAGGTGATGCTGACCATACTGGACTGTGGAGCACACTTTCTATAGCAAGGCTGATGGTGACAAGTCAACCGAGAGGTCGCCGCCCTACCCCCAGTGTCGGCCTCTGCCGTGTTCTGGTCTGGGGTCTGTCAGCATGACACAGAGACCCCAGGATATCCGAAGCAGGATATTATTTCCCTTTGTAACACTGAGGGCTTCCCTGGTGGCTCAGCTGATAAAGAATCCGCCTGCAATGCAGGAGACCAGGGTTCAGTCCCTGGGTGGGGGAGATCCTCTGGAGGAGGGCATGGCAACCCAGTCCAGTATTCTTACTTAGAGAATCCCATGGACAGAGGAGCCTGGCAGGCTACAGTCCATGGGTTCAAAGAGTCAGAAATGACTGAGCAACTAACACCCAGAATAGCAAGAGGATGCGGTGAAGCACCGCCCTGAGTTGGGGGCTCAGCAGTGAGAGGTGAGCTACTCTTTAGGAAACCAGGCGGCAGGACACACACTGCAGGCTGAGACAGTGGCTGATGGGATCTGTGCCCCGAACTGGGTCCCTCCCCCAGGACAGGAAAGAGTGGGAAATGGGCCTCCTTCCCACCAGCAGACACTAGTGCTCCAGTTAGGATCTCCTGGTGGGTGGGACGAGGCCCGGCAGGCCACCCAGCCTTGGGGTGACTCACTTCCTGCTTTACAGGAGGTTCAGGGTTTCCTGGACTTTCAGGGTTAAAATTGGGGCGTCCCAGGGAGTCCTGGGCAGACAGGATGGTTGATCTCCTCCTGAGGGCACATGTGGTCCATGTCTGAAACACAGCGTTGGGCTGGAGGAGGAAGGATGCTACAGGGCTAGGGAGGGGGTGGCACTTCCTGGCGCTCAGTGGAGGGGTGCACAGGACCAAACGACATGACCCTCAGGACTTCAGGGAGGGGAGGGTGGACCCCCCAGGACTGTACCTGAGGCCACACGGTCCTCTCCCCTCCCTTCCCAGGGGTGGGATTTGCAGGTGACTCCTGTCTTGGAGAAAGTCACCCAGCAGAACACAGAGCAAGACACTTGTATGAGGCCGAGTGAGGCCAACACCAGACAGACGCTGAGCTGTGCCTTTAAAGATATTGTTTGATATGTGAGTTGTATCTCAGTAAAGCTGCTTTAAAAATGCGGTCCTTGCACAAGGCAACGATTTTTCTGTGGAATCTTCAAAACTTCTCCAAAGCATCCTGCATCCATGTCAGCGGATGAATAAATAAATGGCTGGGAAGATGGAAAATGGGCTGGCAGTTGCATTTTCTTACCCAGAAGGGTCTTCTCCCTCGTCTTGGATCCCAGCCCTGCCCCAAGAGGTGAGGTCCTCAACTGCTCGGGTTCAGCAGGGATGAGGTACCAGTGTGATGTGGGCCCTTGGAGCTTGAGAAGGCACCCCCTCCCCCAAAGCAGCACACACAGGACACTGTCACACCCATAGGGATGCTGCCATCAGAGACAGTGAGCGCATAGGGATGTCGCACTTGGTATGCCGCCTTTGGGAAGGTAATATGGTACAGTGGCTGTGGAAAACATGACGGTTCCTCAAAAAGCTAAATATAAGGACCTCCCTGGTGGTCCTGTGGCTAAGACTCTGAGCTTCCAGTGCAGGAGTCCCGGGTTCAAGCCCTCGTCAGGGTACTAGATTCTATATGCCACAACTAATCCCAGCACAGCCAAATAAATAGTTAAATATATTTTTAAAAATAGAGCTACTTGGTAACCTTGCAAATCCACTAGTAGGCATGCGCCTAAGAAAAATGAAAATGGAAGTCCACATAGATGTGAGCACACACACACCCATAGCAGCACTACTCACAATCGCCCCACAGTGGAAAACCACATGCCCACTGGTGGGGAGATGGATATCAGGTTGGCCTGTCTCTATCATGGGATGTTATTCAAACATAACAAGAATGAAGTACAGGGATTCCCCTGGTGGTCCGGTGGTTAAGAATCTGCCTTCCAATTCAGGGGACACCAGTTCAATCCCTGGAGAACTAAGATCCCACACACTGTGTCGCAATTGAGCCTGCAAGCCACAGCTAGAGGAGCCTGTGTTGTGCTATGTCTACTGACCCCAAGCNACAGTTCATAGGGTCACAGAGTCAGACACGACTGAAGGGACTTTGCATGCACGTATGGATCTGGGAACAGCCAGATGGAAACAGGTATGGGGATAAGAAGACAAGGTATGAGGAAAAGAGTCAGACATGACTTAGTGAAACAGGTATGGGGATAAGAAGACAAGGTATGAGGAAAAGAGTCAGACATGACTTAGTGACTAAACAACAAAAATATTCCATCGTATATATGTACTACATCTTCTTTATCCATTCTGCTGTTGATGGCCACTGAGGTGGCTTCCATATCCTGGCTACTGTAAGTAGTGCTGAAAAAGATACATACACCCCAAGGATTCTGGGTCTTTAAGCTACGAATTGACTGAGGGATACTGACTCTTTTTTCTTCTTGATTTTATTCACCTTTTGTTCACTTGATTTAGAGCTCTTTCATGTATACTGCCATTGTTCTCTGTTGAGTCAGCCTCCTCTGATTGCAGCATTGACTCTACTGTCCATTATGGGGAGCATGGCCCACCTTGCTCAGTGATTAAGCACTGGCTCAGTAGACATGAATTTGAGCGAACTCTGGGGAAATCGTGGAGGACAGAGGAGCCAGGCGTGCTGCAGTCCATGGGGTCACAAAGACTTGGACACGACTTAGCAACTGAACAACAAATGCCTCTTAGAACTGCTGCCTCTCGAGCTAGTTACCCTCATTGCATTGAGGTTTCCCACTTCTGTGGCAGCGGTTCCCACTGTAATTTCCGAGCTCCAGAGAAGAGCTATCGCAGAGCTAGCTCTTCAAGGCTGCTGGGGCTTCCTTACAAAGTCGTATCTCACTGTCGTGGTGAAAGCTGTGTGCTCTGAACTCTCCCAGGGTATTGGTGAGAAGGTCTCAAATGATAAATCCATACAGCATTCCAATCTAAGTCTTTGGATCCCTGTCTCTGAGTAAATGGTCTCTTCTCTGGTGCAGAGCCCTCCTTGTGTTTCCATCAAGATAAACATAGATAGGTGGGAAACTTAGCAGTAACCTGTGCTGGGTCTGCGTTGCTCAGGTCTTTCCCTAGTTGTGGTGCTCGGGCTTCTCATTGCAGTGGCTCCTCTTGTTGCAGACCATGGGCTCTGGGGCACTTGGGCTCGGTAGTTGTGACTTCCGAGCTCTAGAGCACAGGCTCTAGCACAGTTGTGGAGCGCGTGCCTGGTTGCCCCGCGGCTTGTGGGATCTTTCCCGATCAGGGATCAAACCCATGTCTCCTGCAATGGCAGGTGGATTCTTCACTACTGAGCCACCAGGGAAGCCCAGGATCATTTTAAAGCAAAGGCACGTCTATCGTTTTGTCTAAGGATGGTGGTTACTCTCCTCCCCAAATCATTCTGTGTCCACGCCTGGGAAATTCCATGGTGGGCTCCAGCCACGGGGTCACAGAGAACCAGACATGATGGAGCGCACCAGGCTCATGGTGCTACTGCTTCCTCGTCACTGCAGTCCTGTCTGTCTTCTGTGACCCCCAGCTTCTGTGTGCGCTGTGGCCCCCAGGTGCCTCTGTCCATGGGGTTTCCCAGGCAAGAAGACTGGAGTGGGTTGCCATTTCATTCTCCAGGGGATCTTCCTGACCCAGGGATTGAAGCCCCATCTCCTGTGTCTCTTGCACGGCAGGCGGATTCTTTACTGCTGAGCCACCAGGGAAGGCCCCCCCCACTCAGGGTCCTTGAGGACACTTACGGGCAGAGTGAGTCTAGCAGTTCCCGCAGTGGGGGTGGGATGTGGTGGGGAGACACCTTTATGTGTCCTGATGTCACCATCTGGCTCAGGTAGTGCTCTGGACACCAACTCCTGGGCAAAGATGGGCTCTGACCTGCCCACTGGGCAGTCAGTGCAGGATGCCTGCAGCCCAGTAGAACTTTGGAAAGACGGGATGGGCCACATTCCCTTGGTCCCACACTTCAAAAGGGTTAGAATGGTGAATGTCAGCTTATGTGAATTTTAACTCAAAAACAAAAAATTTCGGAGAGGATCCTACCCCTTACCTTGTGTCAAGCTGGTGCCAAAACACCGCTGGGCGTGTACGTGAATGTCCATTTCTTCACGCCCCAAGCACTCCCATAGTAATTATACAGGGGCCGAGGCAGGCATCCACCCATCTACCATTGTTCTTTCCTTTATTCCTACTATGAGCACTTTCAGTGCCAATTCCTTGCGAAGGCGTGGCGGCACCACTGAGAAGCCCAGCTAGACCCATCCTGCCTGCAT